TCCACTAACTTGTTAAAACTGTTTCTCATACATACATAAAAGATCTCAGGAAGAAGAGATAAGACTATTTTCAACATTAATTGCCTAGGAGAACAACTAGATAACTGGGGTAACTGGAATGGGATGAAAAAAACTTGCTTTTCACAACATTTATCGTGTATGCTTTTAGTCTTCTACCTCTTCTAACCTCTCCACTGCTTTCACCCTGGTCTGAGCCACCTCTTACTACTGCAACAACATTCTAGCCATCTTTTCCCTTCCTTTAGCCTTTCCTTCTTTGGCCCATTTTTACCAGTAGCCACAGTGATTCTTTTAAAACTGAAATCAGATCATATCGCTCATTTGCTCAAAACCTTCCACTGTCCTCCTAGTATCAGAGAAACCCAAAACCTTACAACAATCTTCACACAATCGGCATCCTACTTCCACCACTTTCTTTCTGATCTCTTCTCCCTAGTATCTGGTGCTTTTGTAGGTCAAAAATGAACAAACAGCAACAATTTCATAGATTGAACCTAATAGTGTTTCCTTCACTATGTTTCAATGCTGGACTGCTTGCCATTCCTCCAATGTGCCAGGGTCTTTGCGCTTACTGTTCTCTGCTGAGAACATGCACCCAAATGCTCATATGGCTTACTCTCTAACTCCTTCAGGTCTTTACTTTTCAGGGTCTTCGCTGGCCACCCTATTCTTACCCACAGCACCTATTAATAGCTAATATTATTTTACTTCCATCTTGTTTATTGTTTCTTTTCCATCTTGATCAGTGGTTCTGAAACCTGAGTCTGCATCAGAATAATTTGGAAGGCTAGTTAAGTAGTTATGTGATGGAGACTGAAAATGTCAATTTCTAACAACTTCCTAGGTGATGCTGATGCTGGAGATCCAGGGACATTTTTAGAACCTGTGTTTCAGAATGTAAGTTCCGTGAGGACAGAGATTTTTGTCTATCCATTGTTTTATCTCTAGGACTTGGCACACAGTAAGCACTTGCTGTGGTCTAAATGTTTGTCTCCTCCAAAACTCATGTTGAAACTTTATCGCCAGTGTGGCAGTACTGAGAGCTGGAGTCTTCAAGTGATGACTGGATCCTAAGGCTTTAGCCCTCATGAATGGGTTACCATGGGAAAGAAACTGGTAGCTTTATAAGAAAGAGTTCTGGACAAACATGCTCGGCCTCCTTACCATGTGGTACCCTGTGCTATCTCAGGACTCTGTAGAGTCCCTACCAGCAAAGCCCTCACCAGATGTGGCCCCCTGACCCAGGACTTTTCAGCCTTCATAACTGTAAAGAATAAATTTCTTTTCATTATAGAATACCCAGTTTCAGATATTCCTCTAGAGCTAACAGAAAATGGATTAAGACATACTGATATATATATATATATATACATATATATATATATATATATATAAATAAATGTAGGGGGTCCCATCCTGTTTCCACTGTAGCCTCTGATTCAGCTTATGATGCTAAACATCTACTGAACACTGTAAAAGATAGACTGCATAACTGTTATAGGTTAAACTGTGTCTCCCCAAAAGATAGGCTGAAGTCCTAATTCTATTACCTCTGCATGTGACCTTATTTCAAAATAGGGTCTTTGCAGATGTAATCAAGTTAACATGAGGTGATTAGGGTGGATCTTAATCCAGTATGACTAGTATCCTTCTAAGAAGGGGAGCACACCGTATGAAGACAGAGCCACACAGGGATTATGTCATGATAACAGAGTCAGAGACTGGAGTGATATAGCTGCAAGCCAAAAAACGTCAAGGACTGGCAGTAACACAAGAAGCTAAGAGGGATGTAACAGATTCTCTCCTTGAACCTTGAGAGAGCTTGGACCTACCTATATCTTGATTTCAGACAGATATTTTGTCTCCAGAACTGAAACAATAAATCTCTTGTTTTAAATCACCCAGTTTGTGGTATTTTGTTACCGCAGCCCTAGAAAACTAATACAATGACCAAGAATGCAAATAACTATGCCAAGCTGTATTTCATTTCAAATTCTGCCTATTATCCAACATCCACCAGTTTAAATGTGCTTTAATATACAGGTTTCCCATTCCAGAATCTCCCTAATATTGCCTCTCCTTGCCCACAACATGCCCCTTCAATGAGCAAGGCAGCACATACTACAGGTGCTAGATAATTTATTTGGACTTTCTTTTTGTTTCTTTCACCTTCTTATGTGCTTCCCTAGATCACAAACACCGGTTTCTTTACATATATTTTTTCTCTCCAAGGGACACTTCCTGTTCTCATACATTACAGATTTTGGCATATATTTTCTCCTTGGACATTTGTATTAGCTGCAAAATAATTTAAGTACACATTGGAGTTCCTCTCTAACCAGGTTTTAAGATAAAAGGCTAATTTTTCATTTTACGGAACAAGTCTTCTTCCACCCCTCCCCGCCAGACATCCCTTTCTTCTTTTAAAAGAATGACTTAATCCCACTGAATTTGGAGTAAAAACATTTCTGTCATGCCTTTCTTTCAGACTTGCCATAGTTTGTACACCAAACTCGTTAATCAAATCCTAAGAATCTTCTAAAAGAAAAAATGGTTGCATTGGGAAGTTTAAACTTTTAAGCCTATCTGAATTCAATTTCAGCATCAAGCTTTCCATTTTCGAATTAAGGTTTATTTATAGCTGCACGGTCACAAAAATTCCAATCAATGATTTTACCATACACAGACTCTACTTTAAATTACAACGACTTATAAACTGTATAATGCAATTTTAATTTTAGCACAAATCAACATATAAATAGCATATGCCCAGTGACATACATTTTCATATCTCTATTAGGTAAACATGAACTTATTATATGTACCCTGAATAAATTTGTGATACAATTCTAAGAATAACTGGATATTGAATTTACTCAGAAACATTGACTAGTATAGTCTTAAAAAGCATAATTAAGAAAAACTTTAAATAGGAAACACAATATTCCTAAAATGCTTAATCCTAAGTAGAAAGATACAGAAAAATACAAATTCCAGGCAAATTTAAGAGATATTTAATAATTCTCCACTAATACTGAAAAACTGTCTTTTCCTATGAAAAAATTTAAATAAGTCATACTTTCCTTACTAAATCATTGTTTTACTTAACATATGAAGAGTTAACTGCTAACTTTAAACTTTATATTCACTTAAACTGTACATCAATATACATAAAGGCCGGTAGAAAACATAGTTTACTATATACAATACTTAGAACATACAGTATCATGTGCATCAAGCTCATTTGACATTTAAGAGGGTGAAAAGCTGTCATCTAAGTACCTTCTAAAAACTCAGATTCCCTCTTCCCAAACTCACACCAGAAACAAGCAACTTGAAATTATGCATAGCACTTTTTCCTGCCATCTAGGCAGAGATATGTTCTATGCCCAACTTTTAGTAAATTAACATATTTCTGTCCCTTACATGTAGGCCTAATTATTCACTGATTCATCATGGTTCTAAATTTATAAGTTTTAAATTCATAATGAAATCGATCAATGGTTAGCACAATAGTTTTCTATCTAAAAAGTAAATACGGTAATATCTACAATGGATGTAGAGAAGTATAGAAATCTAGAGAATTTTTCCAGGATGTGTGGGTTTTTTGTTGCTGATATTGTTGTTTGTTTTAAATGAGGGATAGTGGGGGGTGGGGGATGGGAAGGGCCAGTAAAGAATAAATCCACAGAGCTAAATTACGGTAATCTTTTAAGAGTGTACAACTTACCCATTCAAAGCAATATGGACAACTTGTCAACACCTACTAATCCCATCACAATTTGTTGGGGGGAGGGATGAAGTAGAGAGGCCAAAAAATTTTTTTTAAATAAAAAATTTTAAATGCCTTTCTTCCTCCTCCACGCAGCGAATGTCCCAACACACCACGTATCTGGTTCACTCTGCCGGCGGCAGGGAAACTTAAAGAAATAAATCAGCTACAGACAAACCTGATGATCCAAGGTAGCCCCAAGCAAGCTCCAGGCACTTCTAGAAGGAGCGCTGGGCGCTCAGGCGGCGCGGCAGCCGAGCGGCCCTTGGCGAAGGTGCCCCACACCTGGGCGCCGAGTCTGGCAGCACCCACAGGTCGGCGACGGGGCGGGGACAACCCGAGAGGAGGGGCGGGGAGGGCCTGGAGGGACAGGACCGCTAAGCGGTCCGGCCAGGGTGCAGTTCGTGTCCCATCGCTGCCGCTGCTGCTGGTGTTGCCGCCTCCGCCGCCGGGCAGCGTGCAGGCAGAAGAGGGACGCGAGCGGGGCACAAGGGAAGGACTCACGACGAACAGAAGGTTGCATGTCTACAAACTGCGACAGGGTACGCACCCGGCCCTTGTGGCAGACAGCTGAGGCGCCGGGAGCAGGAAGTCCCCGCGCCCCGCTAAGGAGCCCGGACGCCCCTAGCCCGGCTCTGACCCCGAGACACCTGTTCCGCCGCGCCAGGGGTTTGGTTCTATCCTTCACGTTTCCCCACCAACCCGGAGATGGGGGAGGGCGAGGGGAACCCAGACCTTGGACCCGCAGCCTGAGGGCGCCTCCGCCGGCCGTACCTGACATCAGCCGCAGCTCCCTCTCGCCCCTCCTGGGGGGCGGAGAGGAGGGACGACACGGGACCGGCGACCTTTGCTTCTCTGGGCAGCCGCAGAAGTGGCTCGTGGCCGCTGGCCGAGGCCGCCCGCTGCCGCCTAGACGATTCCCCGGCAGCGGCGGCGGCGGCGGCCGAGGCGGGCCCAGTGCTCGCTCCCGCCCGCTCGCTCCGCCCCTCCGCGCAGCGCGTCCAGGCCGCAGCCCGCCTACGGCGCAGCCGCTACCCGGAGTCTCCAGGCGCTGACGTCTCCGCCGCCGCACCAGCCCCAGGGAAGGGCGGAGCGGGAGGGGCACGGAGGGCGGGGATACGGCGACGTGAGGACGCGGGGATTGGCCGCCGAGCGCACGCTCCGCCCTAATGCGAAGGGGTCTGGGAAGTCGGGTCTTCCACGAGCCTTAGATTTCCCTGCATCCCCCTTGCGGCTTGTCTCAGCTGGCCCCCACCTTTCTGACCCTGCTGTAAGGTCAGGCACTAACTTCCGGACCTTGAGCGGGAAGAAAGCAAGGAAACCACAGGGAATGAGAAAGGAGATGCCTGAGGGACCTTTGTCTGAGGTACAGGCTCTAACCCTGCAGGACTTTTGTGGCTTCTAGCCTGCTCTTAACCCGTTCATTTGTTTTTCCTGTTCTCTCCCGTACTCTGTTTACTCAGTATCTCTCTGGGCTTAATGAAACGAAATCATGATGAGATGAAGCATCCAGACGGGTGCTGGGTCATCATGTGTGAACCAGGAAGAGCTGAAAACCGATATGATGGTACCAGAAAGCTTTCTGTAGGCACACTTGGTCTTTGGTTCTGTCAGCGCTTCGGTTCTGTGGGTCAGTGGCCGGGAGAGCTTCTTCCGGGATTAGCTAAACCTGTCGCCCCTTTCGCTGGCCAAAGGGCTCTGAATGAGGAAGTTGTCTTTGGAAAAGGGGGAGGAGGCTGCCACCTATTGAGGCAATTCCACAATAGTCACGAGGTGAAGTTAACCATTGTCCACGAGACCAAGCTCCAGAATGGGAAAGCTACCCTGCTTCCTTTAAATGCCGTAATCAAGCAGTTCTTTAGTACTCTACAGCATGGTTGTTAAGAGTATGGGCTCTGAAATCAGACTGCCTTGGCTGGCGTCTTGGTCTCTCCACCTATTGGCAAGTTACTTAGAATGCCTGAGAGAGATAATAAACAACATACATTAGTTATTGTTATTTTTCCTTTAATTTGCTTAGGTTAAGCTGTAGTGTGGTTTCTCAGGACATAGCATTGCAAAAGAATTGTAAAACATAAAGTACATGTAGTGATTCTAATACAGTTATTTCATTTTTCACATCAGAAAACGGAGGCCAGAAAGATTAAATAAACTGATAGGTCCATGTTAGAAGTGCAGCTATCCTGATGTCCAGGTTGTTGCTCTTTCCCTGGCTCATGGGTCCAGACTTCTGTCCCTTACATCCTTACCTCCATCCTCTGTGGCTCCCCAAGTTGTATATAGTTGTTGATCACTCTCTCCCCTCACCTTCCCACCATACCCTTCCGCCTTGCCACCATACCTTTTCACCCATTGTAAAACAGGAATAGGAGACTCTTCCTGAGGTCAGTGTTCCAAGTAGAAACCAAAACTCACAACTCCTTATCTCGTTTTAATTTTATTAAAAGCTATAAGGAGTAAAGAATACAGTGAGCAAAGATAAGAAACCTTTCCAAAGATAAGTTCGGCCACAGCCTTACCCAGGAAAATTACTTGCTAGAAACAGTAGTGGAACAAATCAGCCCCATCCCCTCCCTGCCTTTATTTGAAAATAGTTTTTGTTTGTTTGTTTGTTTGTTTTAGGAGATAGGGCATTTCTGCGTTGCCCAGGTTGGAGTGCATTGGCTATTCACAGGTACAATCATGGCACACAACAGCCTTGAACAACTGGGCTGAAGGCTGAAGCAGTCCTCCTCCTGTAGCCTCCCCAGTGGTTGGGATTATAGGCACAGGCTGTGGCACCCAGATAATAACTATTGTTTTATAAAATCAATACATGCTTATGCAAACAATTTTCAAAAATTTTAAACAAAAATGCAAAGAAGATATAATTTGTCCAAATCCCATAATCTAGAGATAACCATTTCTTAAATTGTGTGTTACATTCTTCTAGGCTTCTCTCTAAGAATAAAAACACATATAGACATAAATACAATATTTCATCAATTGGATCTTATCTGCACAGTGAACAATATGTTATGAATAACATTTTTAAAAGTTGCAGTATCTGTTAAGTAGATGTATCATCATTTATCCAACCAATATTCTATTGATTGACATTTATGTTTCCAAGTTTTTACTATCATAAAGTCTCTGATGAACATTCTTATCCATAGACTTTTGCACAATTGTATAGTTACCTCCTGGGATACATTCCTGGAAGTGGCCTTAATGTCAGCCAATTCTTCAACATTTTCAATTAGAGAATAAAAGTGGTTACTTTGGAAAATATACTTTATATGTAGGACTCAAAACTGACCAGATTCTCCCATTTGAAACATATTTGAAACACAGATAAACCTCAGTATTATTGTTTATCTGGTGTCTGGTGTTTAATAATGCATGTCAGAGCTCCTTGGAGTAGGTCAGTAGACATTACTGGTGGTCTAAACCAATATCCTTTCTTCTTTACTAGTAAAACTCTGATTTCTTCAGGGTGACAATGTGTCAAGTTAAAAATATTCATGCCCCTAGACTTAAGTCATGGTTGGTCATGTGACCATCAGTTAAATAAAAGTGAATTTCTCTAGAGGAGGCTCAAGGAAAGCTTTATGGAAGAAATATCACTTGAGTCATTTCATCTGCACCCATCCCTTTTTTTTGAACCTGAAACAGGGACATGATACTGGAGATAGAGCAGCCATATTTCACCCATAAAAATAAAAGCCACACAGACACTATTAGTAGTGTAGGTTGCCAGATGTGCCTAGGTTCATAGTTGCTTTGCCAGCTTACCAGCTCTGAGCTGTCCATTTCTGGATTTGTTGTTAGGTGAGGAAGAATATATCCCTTCTATATATGATTTTGTTATTTAGGTTGTCTGTTATAAGTATCAAATGCAATTCTTAGTTGACATAAGACAGGTCAAGTCATCATTTATTTAGCACTATATGTAGAATTTTTTAATAGAATGATGAAAATGGTGGCAAAATGCAAACAAGCTAGCAACAACATTAAAACATTGTCTTCACTAATAGATTTAGTTTTTTTTAAAAAAATGCTTACATTTTACAAATATATTAACACCACTTTATAATAATTAAATTTCGTAAATTAAATTTTTTTTTTGAGTTGGCGTCTTGCTCTGTCACCCTGGCTGGAGTGCAGTGGCATGATCTTGGCTCACTGTAACCTCCACCTCCTGGGTTCAAGTGATTCTCCTGCCTCAGCCTCCCAAGTAGCTGAGATTATAGGTGCCCGCCACTGTGCTCAGCTAATTTTTTGTATTTTTAGTAGAGACAGTGTTTCACCATCTTGGCCAGGCTGATCTCAAACTCCTGACCTCCTGATCCACCTGCCTCTGCCTCCCAAAGTGCTAGGAGCTGTGAGCTACCGTGAGCTGGGAGCCGTGAGCAGGCATGAGCTACCGGTAGTGCCCAGCCAAATTAAATTTTATTAACTCACATAGTAGTATTAAAATATGTTCACAAATTGTTTGTTATTTCTTCCTTCAAAGGGTGAAATTTCATTCCCCTCACCTTGAGTTTGAACTGTATTAAATGACTTGTTCTCATGAATAAAATGTAGTGGAAATGACATAGTGTGACTTCTGAGGGGAAATCATAAAACATGCCAGCCTTTTAATTCTTTCTCTGGGATTACTTGTTGGGGCCAGGTAGCTGTCATGTCGGAATCATAAGGTCACTCAGGCAACTTATAAAGAGGCTTACATGGTGAATAATTAAGGATTCTAGCTAGCAACAGTGAGGTGTTGAGGCCTTCTGATAATAGCCGTGTGAGTGAGATTGGAAGCAGGTCCTCCAACCTCAGTCAAGCCTTCAGATGATTGCGTGCATCATGGTCAATATCTTGACTATAACCTAGAAAGAGACCCTGAGCCAGAACTATTCAGCTAAGGTGCTCCTGAATTCCTAGTCCACAGAAACTGTGAGATACTAAATGTTTAAATGATTGTTGTTTTAAGCCACCAAGTTTTGTGAGTTTGTTATGCGCAGTAGGTAACTCATACAGCTGGATATAATAGAGCCTAGCACAATGCCTGGCACACATGCAGGTGTTTGATTATTTGTTGTTCGAATGAATAAACAATTGAATGAAGTATATCTTTTTCACTTTAGTGGGTAGCCTACAATGTTATGATTTTCTTTGCTTCCAGACACCTGTATTATCTAAGGGTTTTTTGATCTCTCTTAGAGATTTGAAGTGTGACTCTTACTGTGAGCTAAACTTTGCCAGTTGTGGAAATAACATGGTTAATAGAACAATGGAATCCTTGAAGTTTGAATTCTTCCCCCAGTTTTTTTTCTCAAAATTAAAATTTTTTTTTAAATTAATGAGTTAACACAAAATTAAACCATATCTTGAAACCAGACATCCATTTTGTCTGCCATCTCCAAGCAAATTACAGATTGACTCATAATACAAATTTACCTAGAGGGCTTGGAATACTGTTTCACAAAGTTGACTGTATTCTTCCTCTTCACAAATGACCAGTCTGGTACATAGCATGTTTAGCTACAAACACCTCTGCTGACTCTCCTTGCAACATTTTTATGGCTCGCCAATGCATCTGTCTGTATTTCTCAAGTCTACCAAGGGGGCAGTTCAATTCTGCTTTGATGTAATCCATCTAAAGAATTACATCAGAATCTGCAGATCTAAATTCTCTCAAAGCCCTGTCTTGCAGGATTCTTGCTCCTTTTCAAACTGAATCATTTCCTGAAAAAGTCAACTGAAAATGGATGGCTCGCCTATAAACTTTTAAACACAGCTCTAGCCTTTTTTGTAGCTACCACTATGATAAGCCCAATCCAGGTATTTATCCTTCAGTGCCTCCAGATTAATCACTGATTAGCTGGATGACCAGTAGTAAGTCGCCTAGCCCTTTTGGATCTCAACTTCCCTATCCACTAACTGGGGAAAATATAGCCAAAAGGCGATCAGTGAGATTGTATGTGATCATATAAAGCATTAACAGTCTTTTAATTAAACTACGGTGATGATGTTTAGCTTATTTTTAAGCAATTATGCATTAAATATTTTAGATATGAACATCATGGAGACCTTTCAGGAAGTGACAACTTATTTACTCATTTTACTGTGTACTGTATAAAATAGTAGCATCATTCATAGCAAGCAATTTGGATTTAAGAGTATGGTAGAATGCTAGCGTATATGTCAGATCTCATTTTATTAGCCTGTTGAAAATTTATTACTCTTTTAAAAGAATGCATAATTATCACTGGCTCCATTTCTTTTCATGAATTAATTTGTAACTGTGAATGAGTATATCTGCTCCTCTTTATAGTAACAGAGGTACTTAAACATACTTAATAATAAACATACTTAACCAGTTATTTGAATTTA